ATATTTCTAGTGCTAACTTATGTGTGGAAGTGTAATTTTGTGTTCATTTTATTTAGTTAACATAAATATATATTTTCTCATTATTCTTTAATTTTTATTACCAGTGTAGTTATGTGGCAACTCATGATGTCGCAAGAAGATATTTATGGGGTAATCCAGGTATGCGTGCATCTGTTTTCGCCAATGCACAATGCCAAGCTTTTAGAGATGTCTATTTTATGCAATTATCTGGTTTTTTGTTAGTGGAAATAGGTTGCTGTGCACATAAGGAGAACAACAGCACGAGGACAAATTACAGGATTCTTAAAAAAAAAAAAAAAAAAAGTGTTGTATTACCAAGTTTATATATATATTATTGCTTGGTTGCTCTTGTACGAAATTTTTAGACCTCCATCGCTTTTTAAATAACTTTTGCCTTCAGGAAGAAATTAGTCGCTAATGAATTCCTGAATTCTTTCCAAAGTTGTCGGCAAATTCATGAGTTGTTGATAAGGGTGCGGATAATCAGAAAGTACCAGATTTTTTTACATGTTACATTTGCTAAAAAGCATATAAATTAAATTTAAAACTTTTAGATACTTATTTTTTGTAATTCCCTTGGCAACAAAAACTGCATGATGCAATTTGTAGCTAAAAAAGTGCAATTTGTTGCCAAATTTTATAAACATTCGCAAAAACAAAATTGTCTGCAGCATAAGATAAAATCAGCAATGCATTCAGTACTATTCTGTTAGAGCAATGTCAGTTTAAAAAAAAAAAAAAAAAAAAAAAAAGTGTTTTCCTTTGTTTTCTTCTCAGGGTGCCCCTTGGATTATCGTTAAGTTGTTGTTTCATTTATGGTAACCTGAGTAGTTAATGTTATGGAAATGCTATTATGATGTAATTGGTTGTGTGATTGCAGTGAATTTGAATGATGGAAAAAGGTTAATAAGGGCTTGTGTATGTGTTTAGGAAGTATATTGGTTATTTTGTGTTTTACACAGTAAAATGGCTGAATGTAGTAAGATTGATTTTAGTTTTTAAACAATTGGGAATGAAAGGGAAAACAGCATTAATTGACGTGTGGGTAAATGAAAGGTTTACTTAGTAGCCATTATAAGTGTCCTGTTTGTAGGAAGCAATGCATATGGTCAAATGTCAGAGGATACACTACAGAGGATATTTTTTACTCTTATTTTTGTAAATTTATATGGCAATGCCAGTATACAGGTTTTAGTTCAGATAATTTTAGTAAGTTTCTGGATGCTGTTAAGGAATTTCGTTTGACTGAAGACAGAGAAATTTGTAAATAAGGTAAGTGGATATTTCCTTTGTGTAGTGCTGAGATGAAATTCCTTTTTATGTTATTTCATTGTTTAATTTAAAATATAGTTTATTGAGATTATATATTTTTTGTTGGCTGCTTCTTTGACTTTTAAAGTTAATACAGTCAAAAGTCTTTAATCCGGACTCATCAGGACTTCGGCGATTCCGGATTATCGATTTTTCCGGATTATAGATCATTAGTTTAAATCTGGTAAGATGTCATGCAGAAATTATAAAACTAAAAATATGAAACCATAATTTATAAAATAATGAGCAATTATGATCTAAAGGGTATCCAACATTTACAAAAAAGAAGCCTTAATACTTATTTGTTTACTTTATTAAACATTTCCTTTTCAACGCATGCGGATGCGTAAAGCATACTTACTCATAGCCGAAATTACAAAATTGCAACCAGAAAACTATGTGATTTGTATTCGTGATATTTGTAATGACGAGGAATTTGATTTAAATCATATCAAAGACGGAGTACATCGAAATTAAATACTACATTTAGTAAGGAATCATAAGCCGACTAAAATAAAAACATCTGCCCTGAAGATAACGATAGTGTTGACAGATCAACTTCCAGTTCATTGCGCGCCGCGACGTGCGCTCCCCCCCCCCCCGCGCAGAGCAACGTGAAATTGATAAACAGATTTCAAAACGGTTAGATAAACAAAGGATATGCTTTTATCCATTTTTTGTAGCAATTCGTTTTTTGTTTGATGGACATCGAAACATACTTTCGTTTTCTAGATCCTTTGGGAGCTCCAGCATCGGAAATTCTATTTGACATAATCGAAAGTTCAAGCTTACTTTAGAAAATTGCTCTTACAGTCTGCAAAAAATAATAAGCCGGATCCAATTTGAAGATTAAGGAACAACGCAATTATCAACATTAACTGAAATAGATAATTAGATAATTTTAGCTTATACCGTCCGTTATACATTAAGCGCGCACGCGAAAACGTATTCTGCACTTGCACAGATGCATATGCGCAGTCGTAAATGTCTTGCGCGCACGAGTAAAACGCCTATGCGCATGCGCAGAAAGATTTTAGCTTTGAGGTCCGGATTATAGATCATTCCGGATTACGGGTGTCCGAATTAACGACTTTTGACTGTATAGATTGATGTGTACAGGGACAAAGTCAAGGGAGTACGTAATGCCTAGTTTGTGCAGTTCTCTGATTTTTTTTAAGTGAAAATAGGTTTGGTGTGTGCATGGATACCGAGTTTGTGTAATTTGACTTGTTATTTTGGATTTGTGTAAGCCAAAATAACAAGTCAAAGAATTGCACAAATGCAGTGTCCATGTACCCCCAAGTATCACCAAGAGGCTCCCATAAATATATTTTTACCCAAGAAACTTTATTTGGAAACTGGAAATTTCAAGCCAAATATTGTGGCCTGAGATTTCCAGTTTTCGTTTGAAATATCTTCACACATTAATTTTTTAGTACGATGGACTACACAATTTGGAAATTACCTAATGACAAAAAGGCTGCTATAAATCTCTTTCAAGACAAAAGAATAACTCATAGCAATTGACTTTGTTCTCAAAATCATTCGATGAAGTTAACTTTTGACTCAAACAAAGCTCCTGTTTGAGTGAGAGAAAGCTTTTGTCTCAAACAAGCTGTATGGCGTTGTTACGTACATACTTGCTGTGAAAAAAAGAAAAGGATTGAGAACCAAAACATGATCTGAAGGCTCGGATCTCTCTTTCCTCAGTGCCATTGCTTTTTTTTTTTTTTTTTTTTATCTGTGGTGATAGAAATTGATAGCAACTGAATTCCACGTCAGTTAGAAACTGAATTCAACTGAACTGAATTAGTGTATTTTAAAACTGAATTTAACTGAACTGAATTCCACTTCAGTTAGAAATCAGCCATTATAGAACAGTAGATTGGAATAACTACTTGAGGGAGGTATGAGCAACTAGCTTGATGTCTTGTAAAAGAAATAAAATCAGTGGAACCAACAAAATCATAGAAATAGAAGGGAGTCTTTTCACAAAAAGAAAAAACAACATTGGATATTAAGACGCAATAACACGCCGAATAAATACTAATTCAGAAGTCAAACAACAAAAATCAGCGTTATTTGGTATAAATTTGGTAAATATAACGCTGATTTTTGTTGTTTGACTTCTGAATTAACATTGGATATGTTCTTCCAGAACAATGGATATTTGGGGTTTATGCTGGAAAAGCAAAGAATGTTTTCTAGTTGCCTTTCCCAATTGTTGTGCTACAATATTGATGACTATCATTTAAGAAAACATCGTGGATGGCCATATAATATTTTCAGACTGCTAGAAAGGATATAAGAAAGAGGACTTAAGAAATGCTGAACACTTCACTATGAATCACAGTTATAATTTTAGGTATAGGGTATCGAAACCGGATATCATACCCTAACTGTGAAATGATTGGGGAGCAGTGCTAAATAGAGAAACAAATTTCAGCAGGGCACTGCTCGCCACCATTTAGAGTCATATTTGATAGAATTTATGTGGTGTTGGTTATATTAAAAAACTGAAATTTTTTCTATAATATTGAATGATATTTGTAATTTTATGCCACCTGTTTAGTTAAATTTAATTTTGTTATTTAGGTGTAGAATACTCTAGATTAAAAAGTTCAAAAGGAAAATTTACTTTCTTTAAGAATTATGAAATTAAAAAAAAAAATACTTTTTACAGAAGTAATTTTTCAATCTTTTGAACTCTATTACTATATAATTTTATACTTAACAACAATTGGTAGCCAAAAAAAAAAAAAAAAAAAAATGCTGCATTTTTAACTGATGTTGCTCTAACGGAATAGTACCGTGCATTCAATATCTATACAGTGCAAGCTATTTAGTATATATATATATAAAGAGAGAGAGAGAGAGAGAAGGGATTTAATAAAAATTTGTAATTATAGTATTTAACACAGTTTTGTCAGAAATTTATTTAAAAAAGTAGTATAATTCAACTTCAATTTGTTTAATATGTACATTAATTATTGTATTTAATGCAATTATTTAAATAATTTAAAATAACAACACAAATAAACATGCTGAAAAATTCTTTTAATTATTAAACATATCAGAAAATTTTCTATTTTTGTATTTTACTTACTTCAATTTTGTTAGCAGTGTATTAAAAGAAAAAACATAAACTTAATGCAAGTTTCATTTTTTCCAACTCTTTCTGTTCCATATTTTAGCAGTTGCTCCTAATTATGTTTCAAATCTGTATTATTTCTTCTTTTCCTATTTATGGAAAATAGTACAAAACCACTATGTCGGCGCAATGTAGTTATGAAAACCAGTTAGATCGTTAATCATTTGTTTCCTGCGCATGTACAGATGATACGTATTTCTACACACATATGTATACACAAACACACACACATTTGTACTTGCATACATGCATGTGCACATACATATATGTACATGCATGCATGCCTACACACATACATTTCTGAATTCAGTTCTGATGAAAGAAATGCACCGCATTTGCTTTTTTAAACAATATATTTTTGATTATATAGTCAAGTATATAAGAATATATTAGGTTATGGTTTTTAGTAATAAGTATGGTATGTGTTTTTTAATATACATGCTATAATTTTTATATTGTGCTATGTTCTCACAATCCTAAATTTTCACTCTTCCTGATTATGGTGTATTTTTAATAGATGTTGGAGGCATTTAAAGAAACATCTCCTCTTTGTGCAAAATGTGGATTTTTACTTTCTGCGAAAGGCAATCACCCTACCATTCGCCATTTCGGTCTTCGCTTAATAGATCATTACTTGAAGTAAGTCTGTGTTAATTGATTATATAAAGGTATTTCAATTATGTCGATTTTAAAAAGTTTGTGTAATATTATGGCATAATTCTTAATTATTTTATATCAGATTTGTTTTTGTCCTTCAGACTTTTCAAAATAATTAACAGAAGTGCATAACTGACAATAAAAATAAAATGTGATAAAACTAACAGTTTATCCTTGAAGACTATATAAGATGACACATATTTGGCTTCCGATGTATTATTTTCTTTCTCTGAACAGCATGTTCACTTTTATCTGGTAAATTTATTATTATTAGGTGTGTCTCATCTTGTTACTGAAAATGGTACTTTCTGATTATCCATACAACCCTAAAAAGAATCACCAGGCAACGCAATATGTTGTCAAAATAAAAAAACTCATATTCCTTAAAATATAGATATGTAGCAACCTAGATATGTGCACATATATTACATGAGTGTGATTTTAGCTTTTGAAATTTGACAGTCATTTTCATATTTAGTCTTGTGCATTGTTAATGTAGACAGTTTTTTTTTTCCTTGTAAAGAATCATAATGGGACTGTGGAGTTGATTGGCTAATGAAAAAGAAAGTGTTGCATTTCTAATTTTAAATCTTTGAAATCCAGACCCTTCGCCAACCTGTATCCTTAAAATACTGAACTGCCTGAAATACTTTTCCATTTTCACAGCATTTTCCTCCCCTCCTTATCTATTAACGCAGAAAATAGGTGTGAAGATTTCGAATGATATCCTATGTCCTTTCTAACAAAGATTTCATTAGCCTTTAAGCCCGTTCTTTATAAACCTATTCTTGAAGGTCAGCAAGCCTGTCTGGCTTTGTTATGATCACAACTGAGATTTTGTTTACTTCTGTTATTTTTATACAAAGGAATAAATTGATTAAAAATAAATATAGTCTTTAAATTTTTAAACAGCAATTTTATTGCCATTTAAAATTTATGATAAAATAGCTCTGGCTTATGAGTAGTATTTTATAATAATTCTGTTAAGTACCGAAATATTTCTGGGTCTTTATAAAGGATATAAAAATGGACCCTGCTAAGCAAAATATGTATACAGTCAAAAGTCGTTAATCCGGACGCCCATAATCCGAAATGATCTATAATCCAGCCTTCAAAGCTACAAACTTTCTGCGCATGTGTCAACGCATAATGCATTCACGCATGCGCATATGCATTGACGCATATGTGTAATATCTTTAAACATGCGCATATGTGTGTACACATGTGCATAATACATTTACGCATGCGCGTTTAATGTATAACGGACAGTATAAGCTAAGCTAAAATTATATATTTCAATTAATATTGCAGATTGCGTTGTTCCTTAATCTTCGAATTGGATCTGGCTTATTATTTTTTGCAGACTGTGAGAGCAATTTTATAAAAGTAAGCTTGAACTTTTGATAATAGAATTTCCGATGCTGGATACTGCCAAAGGATCTACAAAGCGAAAGCATGTTTCGATGTCCATCAAACAAAAAGTGGAATTGCTGCAAAAAATGGATAAAGGCATATCCTTTGTTTCTCTAACCATTCTGAAATCTGTTTATCAATTTCACGCTGCTCTGCGGGGGAGGAGAACGTTGCGGCGGCACGCAATGAACTGGAAGTTGATCTGTCAGCACTATCCTTATCTTCAAGGCAGATGTTTTTATTTTATTCGGCTTATGGTTCATTACTAAATGTAGTATTTCATCTCAATGTACTCTGTCTTTGATATGATTTAAATCAAATTCGTTATAAATATCACGAATACACATCAAATGGTTTTCTGGTTGCAATTTTCTAATTTCGACTATGCATAATGTATGCTTTACGCATGCGCACGTCGAAAGAAATGTTTAATAAAGTAAACAAATGAATATTAAGCTTTTTTTTTTTTTTTTTTTTTTTTTGTGTGTGTGTAAATTTTAATACCCTTTAGATCATAATTGTTCTTTATTTCATAAATTACAGTTTCATATTTTTAATTTTCTGCATGCCATCTTACCAGATTTAAACTGATGATATATAATCCGGAAAAATCGATAATCCGGAATCACCGAAGTCCCAACGAGTCTAGATTAAAGACTTTTGACTGTATTATTATTATCACATGTAATGTAAATATGAGCCAATTTCCGTTAGGAAAATCACGTTCATACCTTTGCCAATCCTCAAGCAGATACCTCTTGCGCTTTAACATGTATAATAGGCTACCCTAACACCCCGTGATGAATATAATATAAATAAATGATTTTCTGTTTTTAAATTTCATTTTTAGAGGAATTTCTTGTTTGTTCTTTTATTGAATGGAGGATTAAGATTTCACTTCAGTACAAAGTCCGAGAACCGGACTCATCAGGACTTCTGCAATTCCGGATATTAGATCATCAGTTTAAATCTAGTAAGATGGCATGTAAAAATTATAAAATTAAAAATATGAAATCATGATTTATGAAATAATGAAGCATTTATGATGTAAACGGTATGAAAATTTACAAAAGCTTAATATTTATTTGTTTACTTTAAACATTTCTTTCACTGTAACTTGTTTCGTTTTCTGTGCTAAAACTTTCTCTTTAATTCTGTAGACAGACATAATTTCTTGTTTAGTTATATAGTTGAAGTTCTGTAATTGGTGTGTCAAGAAATCCGACTAATTTGTCAATCGAATTTTTTTTGTTGTTTTCAGTAACCTGTCTGTCACTTCCTCACTATTAATAGCAGTATTTTCTGGATCTAGAACCATACTATAAATGTCACCATATTTTAATTGATTGACAATTTAGGAGCATTGTCATCACAATGAAAAACTTCTTTTATATAATCTTCATTTATTACCTCTTCTCAACATTTCTTTACAAAATCTGTTAATTGGAAAATTTCACCTTTGGTTTGCGTTATTCGAAAACCTCTAAATTTGCGGCTACTATCATAAATTTCAGCTATCGTTCACTATACATATTTTGCTATGTATCATGAAATTGGCGACTAAAGACAAGTTCTTCCGCTAAATTTTATCTTGATTCTATCACGCACTGAGACAATTATGCCTGAATTGTGTTAGTTTAGTTATTTATTATACTTATGTATATTTCTTACACATGCTTATGGCTTATCTAAGTCCTGAATAAATAAATTCCCACATATACTTAAGGCTTATGAAGGGCGGGTGCTAGATATCTTACTGCCTGATGAAAAGCCTCTGTGGATCCTAAATTCTGCTACCAAGTGTCTTCCTTTTTCTTCTCTAAATTCTGCTGCCCATTGCGGCCATACAAGTCCTGGCTCTGCTTCTGGGTTTATGTGAATAACAAATCAGTTATTTTTAATATGAAGAGCATTAAATGTAATCTTTTGGCCTATGAGTATCATTAACAAGATCTATTTTTAGCATGTGGAAAGAAATTTTTCCTAGGCAACATTACTTAGCACATTTAACTTAAATCTGTAATCATCGCCAAGCGTAATGTCAATATAAAATTTTACCATATTCTTCGTTATTCAATTACTAATATAAAAAAATTTGTTTAGGCATCACTATATGAGTCATTACTCAAGTTGTCATGTGTTGATAAGCATGCGGTGATGAAAACAAAATATAATAAATAATGATTCGCCAGGTTGCCATCAACAATATAAAATATTAGTAGCTGTAAATTCAATGATGTATCTATGTAAAATGTTTCAGTTTTAGATGTATGCCAAGCTGGCAATTCGGCAGCTACAGAGCTAAATTATTGATGATATTAAATTTATGCTAAAATGATTGTTTCTTCATTAACGAGGTATTTTAGTTAGTGCAGAAGTGAAATTAAGAATCGAGACACTCCACATGTTTTATTATGCGTGGGGGGGGGATAAAATGCACATGCATAAAGCATTAAAAAAGAAAATTGTCCGTTGCTTTGAGGTTCGGATTTTAAATCATTCTGGATATTCCATGTCCGTATCTCGGACTTTGTACTGTACTGTCTTTCTTTGCATGTTAAGTTGCTACTTTTTTTTAGTTAATGTGATGCGTTATTTTTTCATTTTATTTTATTTGACTTTGTTTTTCCTTTTCCAAAAATAATGAGGGTCTTTGCATTTGTTGATCAGTTGTTTGATCTCATCTTTGTGAGGAATAAACCTTAGTTTATAGGTTATTTTATGATTTTATTTATTGTATGAGTTTAAAAGCATGTTTATAAATGTCATTGTTTTCCCATGTTTTCATTTATTTAGTTATGTATATTATTATTTCTGCATATGTTATAGGTAAATATGCATTTGCATATTATCACTCATATAAATTTGTAAGTAGTTATATGCATGCATAAATGTGTCTATGTTATATACATATTGCTGTTCATTGCACATTTGTACATGTTTTTGTGATGATGCAATGATGCTCTCACCTTTTTGAAATTGGATACTGTTCAGTAATCGGAACCGGATCAGAAATATGTGAGTGTATGCACGTGTGGTATGTATATGCATATATCTATCTATGTATATACTCACATACATTTGTACTTGCAGTATATGGATGCATACATGAACACACACATCCATCCATAATACATTTCTGAATCCGGTCCTGATAACAGAACTGTACCTGAAATTTTTTTAATTTTAGTAACTGAAATTCGTAGCCTAAATGCATGATTTGCACAAGCTCATTCTGCATACATCACACTCCCAAGAACTTTCAATATATCTCTCTGAGTTTTTATTTTTTCCTAATGCTTTACATCCAACATATGACCATTAATTTTTCAACGTTTGTGATCGTGAAATAGGCGAAAATATGCCTGAGGTTTTTTTTTTCAAAATGAATTTTGTGATGTGGATTCTTCAATCAATTCTAATTTGAAGTCGTATAGCTGCTTTGGTCGCTTTAGGATTGGATAATTAGTGACTCAATGAACTATAAAGGTGTTATTCACTGCTGTGTCTAAAAAGAACCAACATATGTCCAGCTACCATTTCGAGGATTTTCTTGTGTGGTATAATAT